GGGGGGGGGGGGGGGGTTCATACCCACCAATTATACAAGGACCCAAGGATACTCCAGACTAAATAAGGATAAAATCCCTTAATCCCAATGGTCGAAGAGGGATTTTAAAGGTTTTACCTCTATTGGGCCCCGCCCTTCTGCCGCCTGGGAGACCACACCTACTGCGTATACAAAATTGAGTCCCCTTGCCTCAAGGATGCTCTAGACTAAATTAGGATAAAATACCTTAATCCCTATGGTAGAAGAAGGATTTTAAAGGTTTTACCTCTAATTCCCCCTGTTGGGCACAGCCTCTCTGCCTCCAGGGGGGTCAGACACACCGTTTATACAAAATTGGTTCCCCTTCACCCAAGGGTGCTTCAGACCAAATATGGAACAAATCCTTTCATTCCTGCAGAAGAAGTATCTTAAAGAATTTTGCTATATTTCCCCCTTTTGGGCCCCGCCGCTCAGCCCCCTGGGGGGCCAAACCCACCATTTATACAAATTTGTTCCGTTCACCTAAGGATGCTCCTGACCAAATTTGGTCAAAATCTGCTCAGTTGTTTATGACTAGTAGCAATTTTTAGGAAAAGTTGACGGACGACGCGCCAATTGGCATAAGTTCCTTGCCCTTCGGGCAGGTGAGCTAATAACAAACTCTCTAAGAGTATGATTACATGTTATATATACAGGTTTATTATTGAAGTATTCTAATGAAGTGAGGTGTTGACTGTAGGAATAATGAAGCCAACATATATTCTGTAAGCCAATATCTTTTCTAGCAGAAGAAAGATTTGCACGTTTGTGACCACTTATGGCCCCATCTATTTCCCTGCGGATCATAAGCTACTTCTTGAGTACAAATTCAAATCTCCACCACCGGCTGATGACAACTCCAGATTCAATCAAAACCTGATTTCTGAGAAGCAGCAGAAAAACATGAACATTCATGGGCGATGGACAGAACACAATCGCAATAGGTCACCAGACTGACACAGGTGACCTAAAAGCATGATTTATCATCTCAAGAGTTCTATATTGGATTGACACTGCTCTCATTGTATCACACATAATTTGTACTTTATTTGACCTTTGACCTAGCTAATGCATAATTTGATAGCTTATGACCATGATGATGAAGCTAAAATTTGCATGGAGCTTGACTTTGTTTCATTCAAAATAACTGTATATTACATCTCCAACTAGAAATCATGACAGCTGCAGTCAATTACAATTCAAAGTCCATAAATATATTTCACACAACAACCTATCAACAAGGGTTTACCTTGCCGACCTTACAATGATCTGGTGGAAATCTATATAAGCTGACCTTTATCCTTTTTGATATCCTCCTTCCTCTGTTTCATCACCTGACCAAGGACCTGGTGTGTTGGGGCATAATATCCACTGTACCAGCGTAGCACCTGTCTCACACACTGTGCTGATATCTAAAACAAACACTGTACATAGTATCTAATGTACCAGCGTAACACCTGTCACACACACTGTGCTGATAGCTAAAACAAACACTGTACATAACATCCACTGTACCAGCGTAACACCCGTCTCACACACTGTGCTGATATCTCAAACAAACACTGTACATAATATACACTGTACCAGCGTAACACCTGTCTTATACACTGTGCTGATATCTAAAACAAACACTGTACATAATATCTACTGTACCAGCGTAACACCTGTCACACACACTGTGCTAATATCTAAAATAAACACTACATAATATCTTCTGTACCAGCGTAACACCTGTCTCACACACTGTGCTGATATCTAAAATAAACACTACATAATATCTACTGTACCAGCGTAACACCTGTCTC